AACATATTCTGTTACACCAAATACACAAAATAATGATCTTTAAAAAAGCATCATATGACCCCTTTAATACAAATACAGTAAAAACCATAATATTGTGAAATATTATTACGATATAAAATAACTATAAAAATATAAATTTTTAAATGTAATTTATTGCCTCATCTTGGCAAAACTGTTGGGATTTCCGCATCAGTTTCCAAAGTACAAGTGCCATTCCATTGCACTTTTCCAAATAAAGTGTTGGAAATTCTGACTTTTGAGTTGGAACGCAGCATATGATCCTACAATCTGATTGGTTGATAGCAATGTTGTTCTAGGCCCAACAACATGGTGATCCAGCATCATGTCCTTCTGGGATAAATAGCAACTACACATACACAAACTCATTTGTGGAGATCTCAGTCTACATTTCTACTAATGTACATACTACAATTTATTAATGTAATACTACATTTCTACATTTCTCTCCCACACCATCTGACTTCATCATATACCCTGATGTTTTTCTTCATTGTTCTCTTTCTTTGTGTCTCGGCCGCTTTTGTGCAGGAAAAATTCAAAGCTTCACATCAGCAGACTGAGACTGGAGGATTCTGGGAACTACACCTGTGTGGTGGAAAACTCGCTGGGCAGAGAGAACGCCACCAGCTACGTCAGCATCCAAAGCAGTAAGAGCTCCATTATTTCCCACACTGCAAACGGCGAGAGTCAAAGGAGACCCGGGCTCCTTCTCATAATGGGGCAGATTTTTCTTTGTGTACTTTGTTTACAGCAGATGTACTTTGTGAGATGTCTGGACAGTGAGAGCACACTGGACCTGTCTAGGTTGCTAGGGGGTTGCTAGTTGGTTTCCAGCTTAGTTGCCCAAGTCAAAAGAGTCCACCTCTCTATATGGTTTGGACCCATCCTACAATGTACAGTAAGCCTATAGGATTGTTTTTCCTGTTTTATCATCCATTAGGCTGTAAAATTGTAATCGCACATAGCCACAAGATTTGAGGATTTGAGGCAGCTTTTGTGTCTGTTTTGTGAGTTTGGGTGTTATTGTGGAGAACGCACCTCTCTCATCTGCTGTTTTACTCACCGATCTCCCCACCTGCTTCAGTCTCTGGAGTATATCACATCAGCCGGAGGCGTTTGCCGTTACTGTGTGTGTGTGTGTGTGTGTGTGTGTGTGTGTGTGTGTGTGTGTGTGTGTGTGGGTGTGTGT